GTCCAGCCAGATGCTCCCGTTCCCGGGGCCAAACGCTGCACTTCCCAGGGCTTTCAGGGCGTGGCCACAGCCCAGCTGCTGACACACCACCTCAGCCTCTGCCAGGCTCCAGAAGTCATCACACACTGTGCCCCAGGAGCCGCTGTGCCAAACCTCTACGCGCCCTGAGCACTGGGAGCCTCCTCCCCGGAGTCGGAGCTTCTCTTTGTCTGCAAGGACAGCAGCCCCTCCTGTTACTGCCCGTGGTGGGGAGGCAGGAGCCCCTGGGAGCCACAGGGGCAGTGGGAGAGGCTGGCGTACCTGTGCAGGGGGCAGCACTTGGACAGCTCTTGGATCTAATTCCTGCAGAAACAAACAATGGGGACGCACTGGATCAGGGAGAGCTGGGGGTGTTCTCGTCCTCGAACAAGATTATCCAGCGTCCTTGGCTCAGTCCAAGGACGAGTCAAAACACAGGCTTCATCGTCTACTGGGCTGAGACATTCACTGGATCTCATCACCAGCTGAAATAACTTTATCTGTTGTTTATCACTCTCCACACCCCGCAACAAATACAAACACAGACATCTACACAAACTCACACAAACCCCATATGAAAGCCCCCCTCGAAGGAGGACCTTCATATCTTGTTCACCTTGTGTTTCTGCTGTTAGGACCGTACCCTGCACTGCGTACACACTCATTCAAGTATGTATGGAGAACGTTCTCTAAGGACTGTGATAGAGGTTTGATGATTACTGAGTGAACAAACTGATAAATAAAATCCAGTGGCATGTAACTCCTTTATATTCTTGCTCATCAGTAAGATAATAAAGGAAATACAAATTAATATTAATCGTTTCTGGTAATACGGAGAGTTTTTTTTAAATAATGAATCCAGAATCACAGAAGTAATTTATATTCAATATTACATTTATCCTTTTTAGAGGGAAATTACGTAACAGACTCTAAACATTTCTTACCTGTTTTTCAGTATGACATGTGGGCAGGCATAGAGATTACCACAGTGAGAGGACACTTTTTTGTTAAAGGAAAAGATAGTTTCCTTTTTTTAAGGGAAGATAGATAAGTAGACAAGTAGTTAGGGAGTGTCAATGAGACTCAGATAAACACACTGAGAAACACTGTGTTAAGAGGACACAGAGATGAAACATAGGACAAAAAAACTACATAAACGTATAGAAGACGAAGGAAATAAATATAAATTCAAAACAATGCAAGAACACACACATATACACCATATTTGCGATGAAATGTCAGAATTGGCTTATCCTTTCCGTGTCACCCCATCAGACCTCCTCTACCCGAAGCAGTGAGACATGTCCAGAAACCCTGGCAGGACCTGTTCTGTGGGGTTTGTTCACTTTCAGGATTGGAGAACTCACTACCTCTCAATTCATCGCGTTTGACTTTAGGAAATTATGATCCACATAAGGTCTTAGAGTTTAATATCCCTTCAACCTTCCACAGGAATCAGAAAAAGGGATGAGGAAAGAGATGCCAGGAAGGGAGGGAGATTCTACCTTTGAAATATCTATTACCACCCTCCACCTCTGCTGCGGATTTCAGACAACGCCCAGCATATCATCCAGCGTAAACCTGAATGAGGTGTGTGTATGTGTTGGGGTGACGAAGAGAAAGAGGGAGAGAAGGAGGC